TTACTACACACACACACACACACACACACACACACACACACACACACACACACACACACACACACACACACACACACACACACACCTTTTCATGTCAGTTTTCCCCACTGTATATGAAAAATGAATCAAGTGTCAAAAGAGGGAGAACCACAACAAATCCAGATGGATTACTAACGGTGGTCATGAACTGTATGGGTACATCACACAGTAGTTTTTTTAACAGGAAAATCTCAAGTGGCTTGCAGTATGAGAGAAAACACTAACTCTTAGATACAGTACAGGCTCATAAGTATCAGAATAGAAATGAACACATTTTTTATGAACCAGGCTCTTTATTTACATAACTGCCTTCGGGATCAGTCCTAATCCCTCACTCAATTTCACTCAGTTCATGTAAAGAGAGTAATGCCATTTAGAACAAACTTTCCCTCTTCCCCATAATTAGATAGCAAACTATATAATATAATGAGGCTTTTATTTAAAAGAAGGAAAGATTGCTGCTACTCTTTGAGCAGTGTGATTAAACAAGATTTGCCTACAGGATTTTTGGAATTTGCTTGGAGAACAAGTTTCCATTTCTTTTTTTACTTTATCACTTATTAATGTCAGATGTTCTCAATGCATTACTGTCTGCTACAGTGGAGACAGATGAAAGATTCCGTTATACTCCACAAGATCTCTGAAATCCAGAAGGACTAAAAGTAAAACTGTACTACAATTCATGACCTTTTGTCGGTCCTATTATTTTTAATCTATTCATCACAGCCATTTATGTATTGGGGTAACAACATAATCAAAGGATGGCAGAGTCAAGGAAGTTCAATGAGTCAGAAGAATTTCTTCATTTCAACTACACAAGTTATGTGTCACATTTAGGTTTGTCTCATTACAATTATAGACCTCCTATTCAGGAAAAGCACCTAATGAAGTGTGTAAGTCATTCCCCATGAAGTAACGCATTTAAAATACACACTTAAGTTGAAGCATATGCTTAATTCCACATTCTTAAGCAATCTTTCTGAATACAGGCATTACACATTTCAATATTCTTTTCTAGCTGAATTAATAACTGAACTTCCCCTGGCATGATTCCATTTAAATTGGTGGTGCAAGTGAATGTTGCTACTGACATGCATAGACTACAGAAAGTAACCACCTTTGTGATATCCAAAGGATGGCTACAGTGAAAATGTTCACATCTAGATTAATTCAGCGCCTTGATATTACAGCAAATGGCATGTTTTAATTATCTAAAAGAAAAACATATTTACAATATGGACGTTCTAACCACCATGCACCTTGATAATGAACTAATGTGACAAGGTGAGGGTGCGTGCATGTAGGGTTGTGTGTTACATGACAATGCTCTATGTTACATGCAGAAGATATTATTTGTACATGGCTTGTTGCCCGAGTACTCTTTTCCCTTCGTTTAACTGATTTTTAGCCCTGTTGCTTGAGTACAGATGTTTCTGCCAGTCTCTAACTCCATCACCCATCATACCGCTTTGCCACTTTTCTCAAACCCACAACCAGAAAACCAAAGAACTCTGCTTGCAGCTGCCTATCTCACTTCCACAAAAACAAATGGACTCTGAGTGGGTTCTTAATCTAGCTTCTTTATTTAGGGTTAATGCATCCACCACAACAAGCAATTCTGTTTGAGTCTGCCAGTGAATGTTTCATTAAAAAAGTTCTGCTTCATGTTATTCAGGGCCGGCTCTGGTTTTTTTGCCGCCCTAGGCAAAAAAGCCACCCGCCGCCCTCCCCCCCCACCGCGCAGCAGGGGAGGGCGCCGAGCCCGGCAGCGGGCCCGCAATCCCTGACTGGGCCGAAGCACTGGGGGGAGGGCGGCGAGCCCGCCGCAGCTCCACTCTCCCCGGCAGCCAGAGCGCTGGGACCAGGGCGGAGAGCCCGGGCGGGGCTCTGCTCTCTCCAGCCGCGAGCCCCCAGCAGCGGCAGTGAGCCCCCGGC